GTGGGAAGGGAGGGCGGGGCTGGCTAGAAGGGGCGTGGCGGCCGGTGGGGGCGGGGCTGTGGACGGGAGGGGCCGGTGGGAGGAGTGGCCGGTGGGAGGAGGTGGGCGGGGCCTGCGGGAAGGTGAAGGCGGGAGGGCGAAGGCGGGGGTTGCGGGGGTTGCAGGGAAAGGGGGCACGACCTCTCCCTTTTCTGCTTTTGCTCTTCATTTCTGCAGCTAGTCTTTTTCTAAGACTTCCTCTGTTCCAATATCAGCCTTCCTTAGACCAACACGTCATGAAAATCTAAATTCAACAGCGAGCATATCCGGACCCTATCAGAATAAAACGTAGAACCTTAACAGTCACCTAGAAATAACTGCCACCTTTTACAGATGAGGTCCCAAGGAGTGGTTTGCCCAAATTTGAGTCAGCAGTAGCAGGCCACTACTTTGCCACTAAACTTAAGCTGCCAGTAAGAACCTTACAGCACAGCTTAAGGAATGTAAACGGACACCAAACAAACTAATATTTATCTCAATGGATTTTTTTTTAGAGTATTGTATCCTGTACTGATCAATGTGTTGTCTCTCAGCTCTATGTTCACTCATTCCTCATAGATCTGCGCAGTCCTCCTTTGCCAGGTGGCCCAGCGTAAAGCTTTGCCTGTAGAAACTGCTGGGAGGCAGTGCAGGAGGAAGGGGCTTTGCTGCCCGGTTCCAGTGAGCTTTGTCGGCAGGCACCTGCAGACAAACGCCTCTGAAACGCCCACCTCCCCATCTTAAGGGTCACTTCTCCAACTCCGGACTCTCCGAAGCACCCGGCAGAACGCAGCAGCCAATAGATTCCTCCAGCACCAGAACTGGGAAGTTTTATATCAGAGTGCTTTGGCAAGACACCTCCCCACGAACAGCTTTCCCTGCACTCTAGACGGTGGACTTGCAGCGCGTTCTGCCAGGACTGCGCTGCTATTTGTCGAGTTGTAGCTACTCTCCCTCCAGCAAGTCTGGACCTCAGTCCTGGGAGGGGGATGGGTTCTTCCCTGGAGGCTTTATCTCGGCCCTCAGAATAGTAGCTGCTCCTTCTATCTACTATTCTTGTGTTCTTCAGAGTTCTCTTCACTTTTAATAGCCAATCCCTTGTGACCCTAATCCTCTGTTATACTTAATAATTCTTTATATTAAACCTTCCCTGCACTGTGTTTCTGTCCCCTGATTGGCTCCTATCGCATACAGATACCAAGGAAACAATTGGTCTCTAGCACTCCCCAAAGGCATTAGGTATTCCAGTCCCTTTGCCATGTAAAGCAGAGGTGTGGGAAATGACTTTTCAATCTACCTCCTACAACAATATTGCTGGCCACATTCACAGACAAATGTAGTGCATGAGATATCTATTCTCCCACAATTCACACAACAGAGGCCAGACAGTTAAGGTCTTATGTTCACGTACCTTTCCGTACTTATTCTGTAATGCTATACATGATGCTACTGAAACTTCCCTTAACCTGTGTTTAAGGGGGAAAAAATCGCTCTACTCCTGTATTTCTCCTTTGCTCTCACACTTCCACCACACGCACAACACTTCTGACACCAGATGTGTGAG